CCTCCCTCCCCCACGTGACTCACTCTGACCCCTCCCCCCCCACGTGACTCACTCTGACTCCTCCCCCACGTGACTCACTCTGACTCCTCCCTCCCCCCACGTGACTCACTCTGACTCCTCCCCCACGTGACTCACTCTGACTCCTCCCCCACGTGACTCACTCTGACTCCCTCCCCCACGTGACTCACTCTGACTCCTCCCTCCCCCACGTGACTCACTCTGACCCCTCCCCCCCACGTGACTCACTCTGACTCCTCCCCCACGTGACTCACTCTGACTCCTCCCCCCCACGTGACTCACTCTGACTCCTCCCCCACGTGACTCACTCTGACTCCTCCCCCACGTGACTCACTCTGACTCCTCCCCCACGTGACTCACTCGGACCCCTCCCCCCCACGTGACTCACTCTGACTCCTCCCCCACGTGACTCACTCTGACTCCTCCCCCACGTGACTCACTCTGACTCCTCCCCCACGTGACTCACTCTGACTCCCTCCCCCACGTGACTCACTCTGACTCCTCCCTCCCCCACGTGACTCACTCTGACCCCTCCCCCCCACGTGACTCACTCTGACTCCTCCCCCCACGTGACTCACTCTGACTCCTCCCCCCCACGTGACTCACTCTGACTCCTCCCCCCACGTGACTCACTCTGACTCCTCCCCCACGTGACTCACTCTGACTCCTCCCCCACGTGACTCACTCTGACTCCCTCCCCCACGTGACTCACTCTGACTCCTCCCTCCCCCACGTGACTCACTCTGACCCCTCCCCCCCACGTGACTCACTCTGACTCCTCCCCCACGTGACTCACTCTGACTCCTCCCCCACGTGATTCACTCTGACTCCTCCCCCACGTGACTCACTCTGACTCCTCCCCCACGTGACTCACTCTGACTCCCTCCCCCACGTGACTCACTCTGACTCCTCCCTCCCCCACGTGACTCACTCTGACCCCTCCCCCCCACGTGACTCACTCTGACTCCTCCCCCACGTGACTCACTCTGACTCCTCCCCCCCACGTGACTCACTCTGACTCCTCCCCCACGTGACTCACTCTGACTCCTCCCCCACGTGACTCACTCTGACTCCTCCCCCACGTGACTCACTCTGACTCCCTCCCCCACGTGACTCACTCTGACTCCTCCCTCCCCCACGTGACTCACTCTGACCCCTCCCCCCCCACGTGACTCACTCTGACTCCTCCCCCACGTGACTCACTCTGACTCCTCCCCCACGTGATTCACTCTGACTCCTCCCCCACGTGACTCACTCGGACCCCTCCCCCCCACGTGACTCACTCTGACCCCTCCCCCACGTGACTCACTCTGACTCCTCCCCCCACGTGACTCACTCTGACTCCTCCCCCCACGTGACTCACTCTGACACCTCCCCCACGTGACTCACTCTGACTCCTCCCCCACGTGACTCACTCTGACTCCTCCCCCACGTGACTCACTCTGACTCCTCCCTCCCCCCACGTGACTCACTCTGACTCCTCCCCCACGTGACTCACTCTGACTCCTCCCCCCACGCGACTCACTCTGAGCCCACCCCCACGTGACTCACTCTGACTCCTCCCCCCACGTGACTCACTCTGACTACTCCCCCACGTGACTCACTCTGACTCCTCCCCCACGTGACTCACTCTGACTCCTTCCCCACGTGACTCACTCTGACCCCTCCCCCCCCACGTGACTCACTCTGACTCCTCCCCCCACGTGACTCACTCTGACCCCCCTCGGACACCATATTGGTGATGTTGATGATGGTGATGTTGATGATGGTGTTGATGGTGCTGATGGTGATGGTGTTGATGATGGTGCTGATGGTGATGGTGTTGATGGTGATGATGGTGCTGATGGTGTTGATGGTGATGGTGTTGATGGTATTGATCATGATGATGTTGATGATGGTGCTGATGGTGCTGATGGTGATGGTGTTGATGGTATTGATCATGATGATGTTGATGTTGATGATGCTGATGATACTGATGGTGCTGATGATGGTGCTGATGGTGCTGATGGTGATGGTGTTGATGGTATTGATCATGATGATGTTGATGATGCTGCTGATGATGTTGATGATGCTGATGGTGCTGATGATGGTGCTGATGGTGCTGATGGTGATGGTATTTATGGTATTGATGTTGATGATGTTGATGATGGTGATGTTGATGGTGCTGATGATGGTGCTGATGGTATTTATGGTATTGATGTTGATGATGTTGATGATGGTGATGTTGATGGTGCTGATGATGGTGCTGATGGTATTTATGGTATTGATGTTGATGATGTTGATGTTGATGGTGCTGATGGTGCTGATGATGGTGATGATGGTGTTGATGGTATTGATCATGATGATGTTGATGTTGATGGTGCTGATGATGGTGCTGATGGTGCTGATGGTGATGGTATTGATGGTATTGATGTTGATGATGTTGATGTTGATGGTTCTGATGGTGCTGATGGTGCTGATGATGGTGCTGATGGTGCTGGTATTTATGGTATTGATGTTGATGGTGGTGTTGATGGTGATGTTAATGGTGCTGATGATGGTGCTGATAATGATGGGGTTGATGGTGTTGATGATGATGGTAATGATGGTGCTGATGGTGATGTTAGTGGTGCTGATGATGGTGCTGATGGTGTTGATGGTGTTGTTAATGGTGCTGATGGTGCTGATGATGGTGGTGTTGATGGTGTTGATGGTGCTGATGGTGCTGATGATGGTGGTGTTGATGGTGCTGATGGTGTTGATGGTGTTGTTAATGGTGCTGATGGTGTTGATGGTGGTGTTGATGGTGCTGATGGTGTTGATGATGGTGCTGATGGTGATGGTGCTGATGGTGCTGATGGTGATGATGATGATGATGGTGCTGATGGTGATGGTGTTTATGATGGTGCTGATGGTGCTGATGGTGCTGATGGTGATGATGATGGTGCTGATGGTGATGATGATGGTGATGGTGCTGATGGTGATGATGGTGATGGTGATGATGGTGATGGTGCTGATGGTGATGATGATGGTGCTGATGGTGTTGATGGTGTTGTTAATGGTGCTGATGGTGCTGATGGTGCTGATGGTGATGGTGCTGATGGTGATGATGGTGCTGATGATGCTGATGGTGATGGTGCTGATGGTGCTGATGGTGCTGATGGTGCTGATGGTGTTAATGGTGCTGATGGTGATGATGATGATGGTGCTGATGGTGCTGATGGTGCTGATGGTGATAATGATGATGGTGCTGATGGTGATGGTGATGATGGTGTTGCTATCCTCACCTCCTCTCCGCTGTATTGCTTGAGGCAGTGCAGAAAGCGGCACGTGTTGACCAGCCAGAAAGACACCGTCTCAAAATCATCCACCCTCTTCTGTAGAGACACACAGAGACACAGAGACACACACAGAGACACACACAGAGACACAGTGAGACACACACAGAGACACACACAGAGACACACACAGAGACACACACAGAGACACACACAGAGACACAGAGAGCTACACGTGTTGACCAGCCAGAAAGACACCGTCTCAAAATCATCCACCCTCTTCTGTAGAGACACACAGACACACAGAGACACACACAGAGACACACACAGAGACACAGTGAGACACACACAGAGACACACAGTGAGACACACACAGAGACACACACAGAGACACATACACAGACACACACAGAGACACAGAGAGCTACACGTGTTGACCAGCCAGAAAGACACCGTCTCAAAATCATCCACCTTCTTCTGTAGAGACACACAGAGACACAGTGAGACACACACAGAGACACACACAGAGACACAGTGAGACACACACAGAGACACACACAGAGACACACACAGAGACATACACAGAGACACACACAGAGACACACACAGAGACAAACACAGAGACACACAGAGACACAGTGAGACACAGTGAGACACACAGATCCACAGAGACACACAGAGACACACACAGAGACACACACAGAGGCACACACAGACACACACAGAGACACACACAGACACACACAGAGACACACACAGAGACACACAGAGACACACACAGAGACACACACAGAGACACACAGACACACACAGACACACACAGAGACACAGTGAGACACACAGTGAGACACACACAGAGACACACACAGAGACACACAGAGACACACACAGAGACACAGAGAGCTACACACACAGAGACACACAGAGACACACAGTGAGACACACACAGAGACACACACAGAGACACACACAGTGAGACACACACAGAGACACAAACAGAGACACACACAGAGACACACACACAGAGACACACACAGAGACACACACAGAGACACAGAGAGCTACACACACACAGACACACAGAGACACACAGTGAGACACACACAGAGACACACACAGAGACACACACAGAGACACACACAGAGACACACACAGAGACACACAGAGACACACACAGAGACACACACAGAGACACAGAGAGCTACACACACAGAGACACACAGAGACACACACAGAGACACACACAGAGACACACACAGAGACACACACAGAGAGACACACAGAGACACACACAGAGACATACACAGAGACACACACAGAGACACAGAGAGCTACACACACAGAGACACACAGAGACACACAGTGAGACACACACATAGACACACACAGAGACACAGAGACACACACAGAGACACACACACAGACATACACAGAGACACACAGAGACACAGAGACACACACAGAGACACACACAGAGACACACACAGAGACACACACAGAGACACACACAGAGACATACACAGAGAAACACACAGAGACACAGAGACACAGACACAGAGACACAGAGAGACAGACAGAGACACACAGAGACACACACAGACACACACAGAGACACACACAGAGACAGACAGAGACACAGTGAGACACACACACAGACAGAGAGACACAGAGACAGACAGAGACACAGACAAAGAGACACAGAGACACACAGACACACACAGAGTCACACAGACAGAGACAGACAGAGACACACACACAGAGACAGACAGAGACACACAGAGACACAGACACACAGACACACAGACACAGAGACAGACACAGACACACACACACACAGAGACAGACAGAGACAGACACAGAGACACGTGTGTCCCCGCCACGTGGCACCTTGAGGACACGCTTGATGCCGTTGATGGCGGCGGTGAGCAGAGACACAGAGACACAGAGACACAGAGACACACACAGAGACACACACACAGAGACACAGAGACACACAGACACACACAGAGACACACACAGAGACACAGAGACACACAGACACACACAGAGACACACACAGAGACACAGAGACACACACAGAGACACAGAGACAGACAGAGACAGACACAGAGACACGTGTTGTCCCCGCCACGTGGCACCTTGAGGACACGCTTGATGCCGTTGATGGCGGCGGTGAGCAGCGAGCGAACCCTCGAATCGTCGTTGGTGTGGTCGGCATAGCGCACGCACATGAAGAGCACGTAGGCCGGGAGACACGGGGTGACACTCACAGCCACACCACGTGGCCGACACTCTGTGGAGACACGGTGGTGAGACAGGGGGAGACACGGGGAGACACGGGGAGACATGAAGAGCACGTAGGCCGGGAGACACGGGGTGACACTCACAGCCACACCACGTGGTCGACACTCTGTGGAGACACGGTGGTGAGACAGGGGGAGACACGGGGAAACACGGGGAGACATGAAGAGCACGTAGGCCGGGAGACACGGGGTCACGCTCACTGCCACACCACGTGGCCGGCACTCTGTGGAGACACGGAGAGACACGGGAAGACACGGGGAGACACAGAGAGACATGAAGAGCACGTAGGCCGGGAGACACGGGGTCACGCTCACCGCCACACCACGTGGCCGACACTCTGTGGAGACAGGGGGAGACACAGGGAGACACGGGGAGACATGAAGAGCACGTAGGCCGAGAGACACGGGGTCACGCTCACAGCCACACCACGTGGCCGACACTCTGTGGAGGGAGACACCATGGGGAGACAGGGGGAGACAGGGGGAGACACGGAGAGACATGAAGAGCACGTAGGCCGGGAGACACGGGGTCACGCTCACAGCCACACCACGTGGTCGACACTCTGTGGAGGGAGACACAGAGAGACATGAAGAGCACGTAGGCCGGGAGACACGGGGTCACGCTCACCGCCACACCACGTGGGCGACACACTGTGGAGACAGGGGGAGACACGGGGAGACACGGGGAGACAGGGGGAGACACGGAGAGACATGAAGAGCACGTAGGCCGGGAGACACGGGGTCACGCTCACCGCCACACCACGTGGTCGACACTCTGTGGAGGAGACACGGGGAGACACGGGGAGACACGGGGAGACATGAAGAGCACATAGGCCGGGAGACACGGGGTCACGCTCACAGCCACACCACGTGGGCGACACTCTGTGGAGGGAGACACGGGGAGACACGAGGAGACACGGAGAGACATGAAGAGCACGTAGGCCGGGAGACACGGGGTCACGCTCACCGCCACACCACGTGGGCGACACTCTGTGGAGACACAGGGAGACACGGGGAGACACGGGGAGACATGAAGAGCACGTAGGCCGGGAGACACGGGGTCACGCTCACCGCCACACCACGTGGGCGACACTCTGTGGAGACACGGGGAGACAGGGGGAGACACGGGGAGACAGGGGGAGACACGGGGAGACAGGGGGAGACACGGGGAGACAGGGGGAGACACGGGGAGACATGGAGAGACATGAAGAGCACATAGGCCGGGAGACACGGGGTCACGCTCACAGCCACACCACGTGGTCGACACTCTGTGGAGGGAGACACGGAGAGACACGGAGAGACATGAAGAGCACGTAGGCCGGGAGACACGGGGTCACGCTCACCGCCACACCACGTGGGCGACACTCTGTGGAGACACGGGGAGACACGGGGAGACAGGGGGAGACACGGGGAGACAGGGGGAGACACGGGGAGACACGGAGAGACATGAAGAGCACGTAGGCCGGGAGACACGGGGTCACGCTCACAGCCACACCACGTGGTCGACACTCTGTGGAGACACGGGGAGACACGGGGAGACAGGGGGAGACACGGGGAGACACGGGGAGACACAGGGAGACACAGGGAGACACGAAGAGACATGAAGAGCACGTAGGCCGGGAGACACGGAGTCACGCTCACCGCCACACCACGTGGCCGACACTCTGTGGAGACAGGGGGAGACACGGTGGTGAGACAGGGGGAGACACGGAGAGACACGGGGAGACACGGGGAGACATGAAGAGCACGTAGGCCGGGAGACACGGGGTCACGCTCACCGCCACACCACGTGGTCGACACTCTGTGGAGGGAGACACGGAGAGACACGGAGAGACATGAAGAGCACGTAGGCCGGGAGACACGGAGTCACGCTCACCGCCACACCACGTGGCCGACACTCTGTGGAGACACGGGGAGACACGGGGAGACACGGGGAGACACGGAGAGACATGAAGAGCACGTAGGCCGGGAGACACGGGGTCACGCTCACCGCCACACCACGTGGTCGACACTCTGTGGAGAGAGACACGGGGAGACACGGGGAGACACGGGGAGACAGGGGGAGACACGGTGGTGAGACACGGGGAGACCCGGAGAGACACGGAGAGACATGAAGAGCACGTAGGCCGGGAGACACGGGGTCACGCTCACCGCCACACCACGTGGTCGACACTCTGTGGAGACACGGGGAGACAGGGGGAGACACGGAGAGACACGGAGAGACAGGGGGAGACACAGGGAGACAGGGGGAGACACGGAGAGACACGGAGAGACATGAAGAGCACGTAGGCCGGGAGACACGGGGTCACGCTCACCGCCACACCACGTGGTCGACACTCTGTGGAGACAGGGGGAGACACGGGGAGACACGGGGAGACACGGAGAGACACGGGGAGACATGAAGAGCACGTAGGCCCGGAGACACTGGGTCACGCTCACCGCCACACCACGTGGCCGACACTCTGTGGAGACACGGAGAGACAGGGGGAGACACGGGGAGACACGGGGAGACAGGGGGAGACAGGGGGAGACACGGTGGTGAGACACGGGGAGACCCGGAGAGACACGGAGAGACATGAAGAGCACATAGGCCGGGAGACACGGGGTCACGCTCACAGCCACCCCACGTGGTCGACACTCTGTGGAGACAGGGGGAGACACGGGGAGACACGGGGAGACACGGTGGTGAGACCCGGAGAGACACGGGGAGACACGGTAGTGAGACAGGGGGAGACACGGGGAGACACGGTGAGACATGAAGAGCACGTAGGCCGGGAGACACGGGGTCACGCTCACAGCCACACCACGTGGCCGACACTCTGTGGAGGAGACACCATGGGGAGACACGGGGAGACACGGGGAGACAGGGGGAGACACGGAGAGACATGAAGAGCACGTAGGCCGGGAGACACGGGGTCACGCTCACCGCCACACCACGTGGTCGACACTCTGTGGAGACACGGGGAGACACGGGGAGACACGGGGAGACACGGAGAGACATGAAGAGCACGTAGGCCGGGAGACACGGGGTCACGCTCACCGCCACACCACGTGGTCGACACTCTGTGGAGGGAGACACGGGGAGACACAGAGAGACATGAAGAGCACGTAGGCCGGGAGACACGGGGTCACGCTCACCGCCACACCACGTGGGCGACACTCTGTGGAGAGAGACACCATGGGGAGACACGGTGAGACACGGGGAGACACGGGGAGACACGGTGGTGAGACACGGGGAGACACGGGGAGACATGAAGAGCACGTAGGCCGGGAGACACGGGGTCACGCTCACCGCCACACCACGTGGTCGACACTCTGTGGAGACACCATGGGGAGACACGGGGAGACAGGGGGAGACACGGTGGTGAGACAGGGAGACAGGGGGAGACACGGGGAGACACGGGGAGACACGGAGAGACATGAAGAGCACGTAGGCCGGGAGACACGGGGTCACGCTCACAGCCACACCACGTGGTCGACACTCTGTGGAGGGAGACACGGGGAGACACGGGGAGACACGGGGAGACAGGGGGAGACACGGGGAGACATGAAGAGCACATAGGCCGGGAGACACGGGGTCATGCTCACCGCCACACCACGTGGCCGGCACTCTGTGGAGACACGGAGAGACAGGGGGAGACACGGGGAGACAGGGGGAGACACGGGGAGACACGGGGAGACATGAAGAGCACGTAGGCCGGGAGACACGGGGTCACGCTCACCGCCACACCACGTGGCCGACACTCTGTGGAGACACGGGGAGACACGGGGAGACACGGGGAGACAGGGGGAGACACGGTGGGGAGACACGGGGAGACTCGGGGAGACTCGGGGAGACACGGGGAGACACCGTGGGGAGACATGGGGAGACACGGGGAGACACCGTGGGGAGACACGGGGCTGGCACTCCTCATAATCATCAGTGAGACAGGGGCAGTAGGAGGATGTTGATGATGTTGATGATGTTGATGATGATGATGTTGTTGATGATGGTGATGATGATGTTTATGTAGATGTTGTTGATGTAGATGTTGATAATGTTGATGATGATGTGGATGTTGATGATGTTGTTGATGATGTTAATGTTGATGTTGATGATGTTGATGATGATGTTGATGATGATGTTGTTGATGTTGATGATGATGTTGTTGATGATGGTGATGATGATGTTGATGTAGATGTTATTGATGTAGATGTTGATAATGTTGATGATGGTGTGGATGTTGATGATGTTGTTGATGATGATGTTGATGATGATGTTGATGATGATGTTGATGATGTTGATGATGATGATGATGTTGACGACGATGTGGAGTGGTCGGGGCTGGACGCACCCAGGATGAGGTTCTTGATTAACCGCCCTTCGTCCTCACGGCTGAATGAGAGCATCCCCTGGAAGTCCTTTTCCTTTCGCTGGACTGCTGCGACAAATCCCTCTTCAGCTCCTCCAACTCCTCCTCCAACTCCTCCTCCACCTCCTCCTCCACCTCCTCCTCCTCCTCCCTGCTCCCTGCCGCCCTCGCTGGCCGGCTCCAGGATGGAGGAGGCACCGCCCACTGCCGGAGTGGAGATGGGGGAGGGAGGGAGGGAGGGAGAGAGGGAGATGGGGAGAGATGGAGAGAGATGGAGGAGAGAGGGAGATGGGGAGATGGGGAGAGAGGGAGATGGGGAGATGGGGAGAGAGGGAGAGAGATGGGGATGGAGGGAGGGAGATGGGGACAGATGGAGAGAGAGGGAGATGGGGAGAGAGGGAGATGGGGAGATGGCGAGAGAGGGAGAGAGATGGGGATGGAGGGAGGGAGATGGGGAGATGGGGAGAGAGGGAGATGGGGAGATGGGGATAGAGGGAGATGGGGAGATGGGGAGAGAGATGGGGAGGGAGGGAGGGAGATGGGGAGAGATGGAGAGAGAGGGAGATGGGGAGAGAGGGAGATGGGGAGATGGGGAGAGAGATGGGGAGGGAGGGAGGGAGGGAGATGGGGAGAGATGGAGAGAGAGGGAGATGGGGAGAGAGGGAGATGGGGAGATGGGGAGAGAGGGAGATGGGGAGATGGGGAGATGGGGAGAGAGGGAGAGAGATGGGGAGGGAGGGAGGGAGATGGGGAGATTGGGAGATGGGGAGATTGGGAGAGAGGGAGATGGGGAGATGGGGAGAGAGATGGGGAGAGATGGGGAGAGAGGGAGGGAGATGGGGAGAGATGGAGAGAGAGGGAGATGGGGAGAGAGGGAGATGGGGAGATTGGGAGAGAGGGAGATGGGGAGATGGGGAGAGAGATGGGGAGAGATGGGGAGAGAGGGAGGGAGATGGGGAGAGATGGAGAGAGAGGGAGATGGGGAGAGAGGGAGATGGGGAGAGATGGGGAGGGATGGAGAGAGGGAGGGAGATGCGGAGAGGGGGGAGGGAGATGGAGAGATGGGGGAGGGAGGGAGATGGAGAGGGGTAGGGAGATGGAGAGATGGGGAGAGAGGGAGAGAGATAGAGAGGGGGATGGAGTTGGGGAGAGGGAGATGGAGAGAGGGAGGGAGGGAGGGAGGGAGGGAGGGAGGGAGGGAGGGAGGGAGGGAGGGAGGGAGGGAGGGAGGGAGGGAGGGAGGGAGGGAGGGAGGGAGGGAGGGAGGGAGGGAGGGAGGGAGAAAGGGGGAGAGAGATGCACAACAGCCAACCCACAACAAACTGCAAACCTGTTCCTGGGGGTCGGAGATCGGATCACCGTTCTATCCCTCCAGGACGGTGAGCGGTGAGGAGCTTGCAGGTTGCTTTTTTGATGGAGTTAAATAGCGATTTGTGATCACGGGCCACTGAGGCAGACTCCATCTCCTCGGCAACCCGCGACCACCACCCATCCTTGCAGCGCCTCACGGCTCTCCGAACCTCCGAGCAAAGGCTGCGGTAAGCCTCATCATTCTCTGACGTGGGATGCTGTAGCTGATGACAGTGGGCCTGTCGCTTTTACTCAGCCATCCTGAACACCTCCTCTGTCAGCCAGGGTCTCTGGGGAGGTCTGGACCACGTACCCAAAGCAGCCATTGCAGCTGCATGAGTCACAGTCCTAAACCTCGCCCATTTACCCTCGACATCAGGAGTGGGGGACGATGCCAATCCCAGCCGCAAGCGATGATGAAATTCTCGCTTGCAACTTTCATCAGCTAGCTGAGACCAGGCCACCTTAGGTTGGAATGGGGTCCTGGGTGTACACCCACCACCGGAGTGGAAGAATGGCAGGCGCATCTTACAGATGACTAGTCGATGGTCAGAGGGTAGATCAGCTCCACGGTAGGTCCTGGTGTCAAGGACATGGGCTCGCATCCGCTGGTCCGTCACAATGTAGTCCAGCAGATGTTCTTGCTTGGACCCGGCATGCATCCATGATGTTGTGTGGATGCGCCGATGCTGGAACAGCGTGTTGGTAATTATAAGCCCATGGGCTGCACAAACATTTATCAGCCTTCTACCGTTGTTATTGAGCTGATCTGGCCCATGCCCTCCAATCACTCCAGACCAGGTGCCAGCATCATGATCCACTCGGGCATTGAAGTCACCCAACAAGATGACTCTATCCCGAGGGACCACTTTAGCCAGCACCTGTGACAGGAGGTCATAGAAGGCATCTGACTCATCAGCTTTGCCTGCATCCCTCCACGGATGTTCGTCTTCGGTGGGGGCATAAGTAACCACGACCACCACTCCTCGCCTCCGATTGATGGGAAGGCGAGCCCAAAGTAGCCTGGGGCTTACAGCTTCCCACACCTCACCGCCACCCTCCAACACCCCCTTCATTCTTTTGTTCAAAAGAAGAGCCACTCCCTGTTGTTTGGCAGTCTGCTGCCCCGAGTAGAGGACTGTTCACCCCTCATGGTGGCAGGAGCCAGAACCGGTCCACCGGACCTCCTGAATGCCACACAGATCCAGCGCGCGGTACCG